GCCTCGCTCCACCTAAGTTAAGCACTAACGGAACATTAACTTTGTAGCTAATTCTAAAATAAGATAATTAATCAGATTTTCATAATCTTAGCAGTTAATATCAAGCTCAGTAGATCGAACTAGATAATTCTCTATTCCATCGCGCTTGCGGAAGCCAGTGTCTATACTTAAACCCGGCAGCTAAGTCTAGTAGGCATATTCCTAATGATGCAAATAATGGATATAATCCTGAATCTCTAATTCTATATCTTCTGCCTTCATTCTGCTAAATAGAGGCTAGCTATAGGGTAGCGTAAATAGAAAAGCAGAAGCTTTATACTCCGAATAATAGTTATAGCGTAGACGCTAAATATTAGCCCTAGAGATAGTCCTATTATAGTAAGGATTTATATAATAGTTATCTAAGAAGGACTAAGGAATATAAGTCTATGCTGCTATATCGATGCTTAGCAGAGTAAAGGGAAAATTAAACATTTTAGTGAGGTATAGGAGTATGTAGTTAGTTATAGAGCTAGGACCACAGAGAGTAATACTAACCTATAATGGTGTAACTCTAGTGAATAAAAAGACTTTCGTAAGGAGTTCTAGGTTATTACTAGATAGGACAGGCTTAAGGATAGCAGCAATCGGACCTAGCTAAGCTCCAGTAAAGTTATATATAATCTGTGGTTCCCAGAATACACTCTATAGAGTAGGGCCAATAGCCTAATCACTGAGGCTAAGTATTATATAATAGCTAATCAAGTGAAACTCTAGTAGTAGAAACTTTTGTTTCTTTAGAGTCTTGACTATAAAGTTTATAGCTAAAGTAGGAAGCTCTATCTATACTAAACCCTATAGCTTTTATGCGGTGTGAAGTGGTAAGCTTATAGTAGCTGCTAGCCCTGCTAATAACTAATTACCTAGGTCGAATGTAAAACAAAGTCTGCCTAAATATAATGTAGCCTGGTTTGCTATTAGTGGTCTACTGCTTTAGTTAACTTGACTAACTACCTTAAGATTAAGATCTTCAATAGATAGTCCCCAAGGGGATCCTCTACCTACTATCTTCTAACTAGCGCCTTTTAAGGTTAGAAATTTCCACTATATTCGCTTATGGCAAGTGGCATATTCAAGCTAAAGCTGCTTAGTGCAAGGACCAGAAAAATCCGATGAGGTTTAATATTATAAAGTCAGGCCTTATTATTTAGTAAGGCTTACACTTAAAATATACGCCCACCTAAGGGTCATTAATGCAAGACCGTAGTTCCAGCTATTCTCCTATTATTAGAAGTTTCTTAACTGAGATACCTTGTAAATAACTAGATAGTGATTAGTAAGCTATATGCTCTGAAGGCGTTCTTGTTTGGTAATAAGGGTATATTTATTGGTATTCCTCTAGGTGGAATAGCCTTAAATAGCACTAGATTCTTTAGGTATATAATCTAGAAAGGATGGAATTCTAGAAAGAAGTCCTTAAAGATCTAAGGGTGATACTCGATAGTGTAAAGCTGTTTTTGCATTGGAGAGTGCGGCTCGCTAGCGGTTGAGACTCTGTCGTTGAATAGATTCGGCTTCTGGGCTATTATAGGATGGCTTAATAGAAGCTATAGTAAGCAGAGGATTAAGCCTAGATATTTTCGTGGGGTTATGTCTATGGCGATATGTATTCTAGTATAAAGGCTTAGGCGTGGAGGTGGCGTTTTTGAGTATGCCTCGGCTCTGTCACGTGACTTTAGAGCTAAGCACGCTATAATCTTATTGAAAAGGGACTAGTTATAATTAGGTAAGCATTTTTAGATCACAAGGGCGAAACGTACAGGCTGCAAATTAGAAGGTGTAATAGAAGGTGTAAGGTATAAATTATGAAGTGTAAAGTGCAAAGTGCAAAGTGTAAAGTGCAAAGTGGAAAGTATAAAGTGGAAAGTGTAAGGTGTAAGGTGTGATCTTTAGCTTTAGATATTATTTTAAGAGGGGCAGGTCGCACGAAAATAGATAAGAAGAACTCTTTTATCTTTATAGTATAAATACATTCTGTTTATTATTCTATATATGTCTTTAATAAAATATCTATGGAATCTAGAATCGGTGTGGCTTACTAATTAATATTTAGATAGAATGTTATTAAATTCTAGTCGAGAGGGCTCCTATTTTAGATGTGGGTGTGCTAATAATAACCACTACTTCAGCCGGTGCTTAGGCCGTAAAGGCAAGAAGAAATGCAAGAATGAGTAGATATGTTGCACTATAGCTGCCTATAACCTAACTCGACTTTAAGACGCTAGCCGCGTAGTCCAGTACATTGACTACTATAGATGCCTGGAACACCTAGGTGCCCCACCTAGTGATTTTTAGGGTACATAACCTAAGGACCAACCTTCCGTCCTAATAGCAGATAAGGTGGGTCTCCCTTAGCCGGGCGAGGAGACCACCGTTCTTAATTCGACTGAGGATACTGCTATTAGTTTAGTGTATTAACCTATATAAGGAGAGCTATTAGGTAGTTACTATTAGTAAACATTTTCAGACTCAACTGATCCACTACATTAGGACTAAGAGAGGTTTACACGAGAAACAATAGACGTTGCAGGGCTTGCTGAAACGCTCTCTAATACTTATATTAATGAATCTCAGACTGCGTAAGTTCTACGGATATCTAGTGCGGAATCATATTATACTTACGATATACGTTTTATAAAACATAGACGAGTTGCTTACACTGATTCAGATAGTCGAACACATAAGGTTGAAACTGATAGATGGACTGCAGTAATAGTTAATTATGAGGGAGAATATATTGAATGCTGGTTGCATATAGAGGAAGAGTTAAAGATATAGGTCTATGCCTACTCTTTTAGGGAGGCCGAAGGTAGCTTATTAGGTTGAAAACACCGGAGACGTAAGAACTAAGACCAAATACCATTATGAAAAATTGAATAGGCATATGAGACCCCTTAGCTAGGCTGGCTTTAATAGTCAGGCTAAGCAGCATTTAAGGCAGCAATTTCAACATACCAGCACCCGAGGATAATATTATTGCTATAGATTAGTTGTTTATTTTATTTCTTGAAGCTAAAGATTATGCTGCTAATTAATGGATATTTTATATTTCTATTTTATTTTACTATAATTACTATTTCACCATCTTCCGTTCTTACGGAATAGAGGGGCTATATCACTGCGATATAGAGGAAGCTGGCGTAACCACATTACTAAGCCATAATCGAGATTACGTTAGTAGGAATGAGCAGTATTTATATAGGAGTGGCATTAGCCTTACCTACCCTATACCTACACTAAAAGGCGAAATAGGTGTCGCTATTTTTTTAGTTAATATTTCTAAGGACCGCGGGGTGGGTGTGGCTTTGCAAGATACTCTTATAGTAGGGAGGTACATAAGGGATTACTCCCTAATAATAATAGAACTTACGGTCCACCCTAGTCGCTATCGTCCAAAAAGTGAGTTACGACCATCTCCCTCCCCTCTTTCCCCTCTTTCCCCTCCTTCTTCCTCCTTATCCCTGTCGGAGTTAGCGCTTTCTTCGTGTCAGCTACGATTATGGCGCTGCAACTGGATGCTGCATAGCATTTTCTGATCAGAACTCTGCTAACAGAAGGGTTTAAGACCAGTCTAATAGCCTTAGAAACCTTATACGCCCTGCGCGCCGTCTAGAGAATCAGTCTAGAGAGATAATAATCCGAAATGCCCACTAATAGAACAGCCCGCGTAGGCCGCCGCAGCTACATTACATTAGCTATACGGAAAGCCCTCTATGATAAACTAACTAACCAGCTATATATATATTGGTGCGAGATGGTAGACTTCCTCTATTATAAATTTAGTAAAAGGGTATTAGAAAGATCGATTAGTTGGACCCTGTGATCAATAGATTGGACGAGAACAATGATCTATCGCATTATATAATAATAGGATGCCGACCTTTGAGACTACTATCTACATAGAATATTATAGTATAAGTCCTACTAACTTATCTTTATAGATGAATCTGGCTGTAACGGAAGGGCCAGGTTTCCATAGGCTTCCATGAGAGCCCCACTGTTTGCTAATTATAGGATCTGACCTGACCTGGCCGAAACCACAACATAACTTTCGAAAGCATCTTGATCGGACTGCGTCTCCATAAGAATAAGATGTACTATGGAGGTTAGTGTCTTTCTCTAGGGGGGGATAGTAGTTATTAAAAGGCTGGCCTATCCTCGCCGCTATTTATATAGGCCCTAGCACAATTGCATAATTTAGTTGCTATTGGTCTAGAGGGGCCTAAAGAGGAAGAATTGTTTTAATTCCTCCTATGCATAGACCAGCGGTTGAAACCAGGGCATCTGGAAACGGAAGTGGGATCTCCCTGCAAACGTGACATTCTGAGTTTAGCTAGCAGATAAGATACAATAGAGGAAGTCTGCTATCTTGCATCGATACATATACACAGAGGACGTTCTGCATCTAGTTGGAAGTCGTATATTATCCCTAGTAGTTCGTCGGCGATGATGTGGAGTGGGGTGCAGCCGGCTATTCCGTAGCGTGCCGTCGCCTCCGCCTCGCCCACGTCTAGTACTATAGACACGCTTATAGAGAACTCAGCTAGGCCTTCGATAGCGTTACTGATCTATAGCTTGGGAGGATAACTATTAGTCCGTGAAATTCTAGTTGTCCTAGTAGGGCGGTTTAGTCGCTAGCTATCGGCTCGCTTTCTTCCGCATTATTCTCATTCTTCCTCGATAAGTCTAATCCATCCATTGGTCACTATGACTGTGGTCTAGTATAATATCGATAGTGCTTCATCAGGAAAACATATAGCAGGGGTGCAGATTATACTTAGTATGGAATAAGATGAGGATTTAAATGCTAATTTGCTTAGGATTGTATTGCACGAAATGCACGCTATTAAAGCATTTCACCCTATTGAATTACTATAGTATAGCTGCAACCTGGATGAGATCGTTAAAGATGCTCGCACACGCCCCGCTGCGACTTCTAAGGTTTCCCTAGTGTTCCTTCTTCAGACTCGATATGAGTTATACTCAGTGATGTTGGCCGAGGAGCTTCCCCACTGCCTTCCCAATAACTTGGAAATTGCCTACTTTCCGCGCTTTCGCGATTTCGTCCCCAAACTGCTGCTCGACCGCCTGTTCCATGATGTCGCCGTCACGAACTGGGTCCCTAGCGTGACCTTTGGGACTCCATACGATGGTGATGACGCGGAAGTAACCCGTATTGGGTACGGTGGCGATGCGGACGTCGCTGCGGTTGTCCGCGCAGAACTTCTTTATAGTCGTGCCCTTGACAAAGGTGTCGATGTCAACCCCCTTATTCTGCAACAGGCGCCGGCACTCCCATTCGTCCGGGTCCTGCACCTTGATGAACACGACGGTCGACTTAACGGGGGCGACGAACCCCCAGGCGACAGCATCCTCGTGTGTGCTGGTCCGCAGGAAGAAGACGTGGCTGTTGTCATGGAAGCCATGGAAGCCTCGGGGCTGGAAGTTGTCGGTTGGGAAGGAGTCTGGCAAGTTGTTCATGTTGACGATTTTGAGTCCCGTTACTAGACCTTCGCAGATCATATAACTCCTTTCGAGGGTATGACGCTCACCCCGGTTCACACCAGGTTTCACAAAATAATACAACGGGGTTTAACATCGTCCTCGCGATGGCGGGGTGGAAGGTGGAGAGGCCTCGTCAGCTGACCCCAGCGCCTTAGCACGCTAACTAGAAGCGGCCGCAACACCCTAAATCCCCGGAACCGCGGCGAAAACACGTCACGGGATCCAGAGGTGGGCATGTTAGGCATCAGCCCCTTATGTACTTCCATGCTATAAGCGTGTCCTGCAAAGCCACAGTCAACCCCGCGGCCCTTAAAAAGGTTAACTGAAAGTAAAGTGGACACCCATTTCGCCTTTTAATGTATATACATCTCGATATATATGTTTGATAATAAATGGCCATATCCATCAAGGAAGTAATACCATGTATCTTTCTTCTTATTGCTTTGACTGTGGTATAGGTATTAAAGCAAGCAGCTTAACAAACCGCGGTACCCCGCACCTGTAAGATTGCGGCCTTTTCTCTCCCACTCCAGAGAAACATCAACTCATCGCACGTGTCCGAAAAGCTTTGCCACGGCACTAAGCCATCTTGCGCCTTGACTGGTTGAATCCTTTCATCATCGATTTCAAAATGACCACTCCGCAGGTGCGCTTAATCGTATCATTTCTTTCCTCGCCTCCTTTCCTTGTGCAGAGCTGGCTTTGCAGCCTGATTAATAATGACCCCGCCTAATCCTATAAATTTGCGGTCTACGAATACACCATTCCAATTTCATTAACCCCGATTCACACATCCTTGATTGCCTTTCCTACCCATACCAAACACCAAACAGTAACAACTCGAAATATTCAAGACAGTGACCAAAACGACATGGGAGACGGACCAGGCAAAAGACCTCCACTTGAAGACGGCTGTCTCTATATGACGGCGGAGAGGAAATACTACCAAAGTGGGCTGTCCTTTATCAAAAGAAGTCTTCGAGAAAAGGAATATCACCAAGGACCTTATGGACCCTGTGTCCCTCGACTGAGTAAAGAGCGACTCCAGAATGAGGCTGAGTGCCTCCGCTTTATTCGTTCCAATACCAACGTCCCCGTACCAGCTGTATATGCTGACTTTGAAGATGATGTCGCATACTACCTGGTGACCGAATTTATCCAAGGTGTCGATCTAAATGACATTCCATTGGAGAAGAAGGACCTCGTGAGGGCAGAAGTCGAAAAACATCTGCACACACTTCATAACCTGAGGTCTAAGACCGTTGGTGGGCCCTCTGGCCTCCTGATCCCTCCTAGGTCAGTCATGGAAAGCACGAAGCATGATCTCTGGGTGCTGCAGCCTTCGGGTAAGGAAGAGGAATATGCTTTTTGCCATAACGATCTGTCCGAGTATAACGTCATCGTCAATCCAGAGACCTTCAAGATTGCTGCAATCATCGATTGGGAGCATGCTGGTTTTTATCCCGAATACTTTGAGGCCCCCATCTACACACGCCACGGGCCTGATGCGAAGCTGATCAATGACAAAAACCATGTTGCACGACTTCTGGAGTTTTTAAGATCTCGGAGTGTTGACACGACCGTTCCAGAGTTCGAGGAGAAGAAGATCGAGCAGAACAAGGCGAATTAATGTGCCTGCCCAGCAACAAGGAAAACAAACATCAGGCCGTTCCCACAGATTTGGTGTTGGTGTCAATATTTAATCAACTCAGACAGGTCTTAGTGGGTGTATGTTTGAAGGGCTAGTGCATGGTTATCCTCGGTTTAGTTCTATTAGAGATGAGCGGGTAGATGCAGGAGGCAAGCGGTTTATCTTCCGCGTTGCGAATGGGAGCTAACTGGTGCCAATTCTGGCCTTGCTATAATACATGGGACTTTTTTTCCGCCGCTAGTTCATGACCATACCATTGACGACGTTAAATATGGAGTTTACGCGCTGCACGGCATGGAGCCTTCCAACCTCTTTAGTGTGAAATCCATATTGAGGGCTGTTGTTGCGAGTTGCTGATAAAGATTTAAGCGGTTGGAATCGAATTATTTTGAGTCAATAATGGCGAAATCGGATGGAGCCCGTGGTGTGCCTATGATATGCACTGATTTGTATCCTTGCAGGGATTCCCGGGAGAGGGCAGTGGGGGAAGAGGTTGCCTCCTTACGTCATCCAATTACTTAACGAAATTTCCAGCTGCCGGCAGGACGAGGCCCATGTTTGATTGGTCACAAGTGCAGCTTGCGTGGCTGGGCGATCCCGAGCCAGAACATCATCAAATCAGGCAAAACTCAAGATGATGGCGGATGCATATTTTTTATTACGATGTTTGGTCCTGTTCGAGCTTCGAGCCATCATGACCTCATGCCAGAATTTGCATTATAGTTTAGCAATCAAATTTTGTTCTCTCACCATGCAGGAGCAACAGCCACGCCACGGCACGTAAAAGCACACGCAACGCGACGGCGTTATTGATGACTCATTAGGTAATCCGTTGCCCTCTTCAACCCTTAATCCAGGGCCCCTATTGACACTGGTCCAATATTGCTTTACCACCACCGACCTAATTTCCGACTTCATTCCCTCCCAAACGATGCTATGAGTGTTCCGACGAACACGGAAGAGTTACCGTCGGTAGGCGGAGAAGAGAGCCAACCAAGAGAGAGAGAGAGAGAGCTGACCTAGCCTAAAAAAAGACCCCACCTCGAGGGAGGTGGAAGCCAATAAAGCTATAATTAAGCATTATTTGCACCGCCATATCGAGGCTTGCATACACCGCCACATGGTAAATCGATAAGAAATGCGCTGCCACGAAGACGTTCTGTCGTTTATCGTTCCACGTAATTTTACATAGTATACCCCGGTTGCGAAGTTGTTCTGGGGGAGCGCCATATTTTTAATTTTTTTTTTTAATTTTTTTTTATTTTATTAATATTTTTATTTATTTATTTTTTACGACAGGATAGAGCTTCAACTTGGTCGGCGTCTCTTCCTGAACTCAATAGTCTTACTCAAGTTAGATATGAAAATACAACAGAATGCAAGTATAATAAGCGCGGCGGTAATGAGAGGTCCCAAAATAGAAAAGACTGTGAAGCCGTACGACGCAGATTGGAATGCGTTATTGCGGGCGAGCGACTCGGTCGCGAGGCCGACCTGCATCGCCGTCAGGACAATAATAATATAGATCATTGCGCTAGCCAGCCAAGCAAAGTTATCGCGAAAGAAGGCGCTGTACTGATCCCAACGAGCCATATAGCCGCGCAGTGGAGTCTGCGAGAGGGCATATATCTTGTTTAGACGGGTCAGACGCAGCTCGCCGTGGTAGAAGCGTGGGTCGATGCGAGGATATATGTTCTCCGTATCCAGCTGCTCGACGAACGTCCTCCACATGGGCCAGCGTACCGACGGCGGAAGCAGGTGCTTGTCCTGCGCGATGCGGAAGTCGCTCTCGTGGGAGATGAGCGCGGCGTAGGAGAATAGGAAGCCGAGCGCACGCTGTCGGAGCGATTGGCGCTCGCAATTCTGTGTGCCGCGGAGGACGGGTCTCTCGTCGAGGGAGCCGTCGCACCCATGTGTGCAGCAGAGATATTCGGCCCAGAAGCCCGGCTCAAGGAGGAAGCTTGGGATCGGCTTGAGGAAGATCCGGCCCGTTGTCCAGACGAGGTGCATGTCCATCCGCTCCGTGATAAAGATCTCTCGGCGTAGCAACAGCTGGTGATGCAGTGGACGCGGCGGCAGGGGCAGACCCGCGACCCAGAGCCAGCCGTGGATGCTGGCAAGTCGCTGCAGGTCGAGCTCCTTCTCAACACAGGCTGCGACATGTTGAGTGGCAGCGGCTAAGTCACCGGACTCTTTGCGGTACGATGCGGGCAACAGCGACAAGAGTCGGTCGCGGTCGCGTCGGGACGCGTCGCCGGCGTGCTCGTTCTCGTGCTCGTTCTCGTGCTCGAGGAGCCGGATGGAAAATGGGGGACCCTGTAAACAGAACTGTTAGTTCAAATACGGTCGCGACAGAAAGCACGATGGACGAGTACCTGATATTCCTCCCTTCCAACTTCGCCTCCGATTTGAGCATTGTCTACCATCTCCAGAACGAGACAGCTCTCGAGCATGGTGTCACAGAACTGAGGCAACCAGACGTTGCTACAGGTTCCAGATTGGCCACGACAAATCGTGCGACACCCCAAACGTAGCCCGACGCATTGCCGTTTCGCTTACCTTTATAATCGGTAGGATGATAGGCGTGGAACTGCAGCTATCGCTTGGGCTGTCGGACAGCATGACTGTTTCAGCGGGTGTCTTACTGAAGCGCTGTGGCGTATCAGATGGATGTTAAGTAGATATCCAAAGGTGGTATGCTGTATGCTTTGCAATGGTGAGGCGGTGTGATGTGGTTGGCCTCTAATTTTCAGCTGATTAACCCCGGCATGCCTTTGACTTGCCCCTCTCTGACTCTGCCCACCTTCCTGCATGTGATGCGTTGTTAACTCCACCTCTCACCATAACACAGTGTGCGGTGCAATGATAAATGCCTAATACTGCCTCACCATTTTCAGCTGATCCATTCTGGTCTGCCCCGTTCGACGACTTGTCCCTCCTCAACACAGCGCAAAGCCTTCCCACTCCTCCTCCATCCAACCCTGCCCAAAGAGCGATGCACTTGGGTCCTTTACTGGCTTTCCTCTTCGTGCCTTCGGAGTTCGCTCTCACCATGCCCTTGGCCTTGAGATGGATGATTGGCTGGAGGGGTGGGGCTGGCTTGGCCGTACTCGTGATCCTGGCCACACTCCATCCCATCGTTGCCAAGATTCGTCGACGTAGTGATAGACCACGCTCTGGGACACTTGAAATTCTCTCAGACGCAAACGATGCTAAGTTCGAGTTCGTTGCCATTACGCCTTCGACCTGCACATCCGGCTGACTCTGTTGCAGGATCATCGCCGTCCACGGCCTCGGGGCGGATCCAGATCGCACGTGGACCCAAGCCGTCGAAAGAACCCAAGAACGCGAAGCTGCCGAACATCGACCTGCACATGATCCGGCGAGGATCCACCTGCTTCAAGATTTACTCAAATCCGACTTCCCTCAAGCTAGAATCCTGAGCTTTAAGCATAACTCGAACTGGCTGACTGATGCGCCCGTGAAGACGACCGAGGAGATTGGCAAAAGCCTGCTGGAGGAGATAAAGGCTAAGCGATTATCCCGAGTAATGATGACGATGTCTTTTGCCAAACGTGGCTGACACTCTTACCAGCGCCTTCCTATCATCTTCATCGGACACAGCCTAGGCGGTATCATCATCAAGCAGGTAAGACGGCCCATCTTTACAATCGTTTCGTTCTTGTCTTCTGACCTTCATAAGGCTTTATGTAGGGATGATTCTCAAGAGATCATCGATGACACTTCTGGCATCATTTTCCTCGGAACCCCTCATCAGGGTTCGTCGGTGTCTGCTTCTGGCGCTGTTTTGGCCTTCATGACCGGTTTCCTGGGGTCGGACACAACATTGCTCCAGTCTCTGAAGAGTCATGACGGCCAGCTCAGCAATCTCGCGGACAGATTTCAGTCTCGCAAGGTCCCGAACCAAGATCAACCACAGAAATTCCAAGTCATATCTTTTTACGAGACAAAGCCTACCTATTTACTTGGGTGGCAATCGCTGGGCCTGGTAAGTAGATATAGTTCTGAGTTAGCACCCGTCTAATCTTTTCAAGGTTGTTTCACGGGACTCAGCTGCAGTCCACATGGATAAACAGTATAGTATCGACACCGATCATTCCAGACTCAACAAGTGTGCGGGGCCGGAAGATAAGCTGTATATGAAGCTGAAGGAGGCAATAGGCCGCCTGAAGGATCCATCACTGCTCGAACAAGCCGACACACTGATACGCAACGACCACTACACGGAAGAGAGGCTCAAAATTGAACGACTCTCGGGTGACCTGCTGTCGATGGATCAGTGCTACATCAATCTTGCCATTGTGGACCAGTCTGGCCAAGATGCAGGTCGCTTAAAGGAAGGGGACCCTACGCCCTCCCCGTTTTCCCTCTTTACTCGACAGAAGGTTGAGACACCAGACGAGACGATCCAGGTCAAGCTGGCGACAATCTTCAACCAACGCAAAGGACGCGATGGTCGCACGATGCAACCAAGAAGAATCTTGATCCGAGGACGTGCGGGAGTTGGTAAGACTACCTTGTGCAAAAAGATGGTCTACGACTTTACCTATGGTATACAGACAGATTTGCATCACTCATGGACGGTGTTGTTCGACCGCCTGCTCTGGGTACCTCTACGGAATATAAAAGAGCGGTCAGCGGCAGGATACAACCATGAGGACCTATTCTACCATGAATATTTCTATGGACAGGGTCATGAGGATGGCCGCTGTCTCGCCAAAGAATTATGGCGAGAAGTGAAGAGGACCAACAGGATAAAAAGTGGTAAAACCCTGTTTGTCCTCGATGGTCTGGATGAAGTATCCCACGACTTGGATCGCAACGACGACATGTCTCGTTTTCTCAAGGATCTTTTAGATCAGCCTAATGTCATTATCACATCCCGACCAAATGCTAACATTTTGGGTGGCCTTGGAGATCTCGATCTCGAATTGGAAACAATCGGATTCTATCCAGATCAAGTGAAAGCCTACATCGAGGCGGACCCCAAAGTAAAGCCAAAGGCCAACGAGGTCCAGTCCTTCCTTCAACACCATTGGCTTATCCAGGGCCTGGTGCGTATCCCAATTCAGCTGGATGCGCTTTGCTACACCTGGGAAGATTTTGATTCCGGAACTGTGACGAATACCATGACTGGTATTTATAAAGCTATCGAGCAAAGGCTGTGGAAGAAGGATATCGTGCGACTACAGAAGCAGCATGGCGGGCGGCTGGTAACGGCTTCTGACATCGACCCCTCTTGTGTCGAGGACTTAGTCGAGGATGAGATCTGTTTCCTTGAAGGCCTTGCTTTCACCGGACTGTACAACAATATGATAGACTTTACGTCAAAGCATCGGAACGCTATATCTAAGCACTTCAAGTCCAAGGAACTTTTACTCGATAAGACAATTCCATGCCTCTCTTTTCTACGAACGTCGGACCCTTTATCAAAGAACCCCATGTATCATTTTCTACACCTAACCTTTCAGGAGTACTTCGCGGCGCGGTATTTTGTACGAAATTGGCTAGCTTGTCAGCCGCTCAAATGTCTGGAACCTAACAGCAAAAAGGTCAAGCAGATCTCTCCCTGCAAGTTTCTTCAGAAGCACAAATACTCGGCACACTATGATGTCTTTTGGCGCTTTGTTGCCGGCTTACTTGAAGCTGAAGGAGAGGACGAGATCCTCAGGTTCTTGAACACAATCGAAGAGGAACCCCGGGACCTTTTGGGGCCCACACACCAGCGGCTGGTTATGCATTGCCTGAGTGAAGTGGACTCTTCGACAAATTTGCCAATTCGATCGAAGCTGGAAGCAAAGCTATCACAGTGGCTGCTCTTCGAATGTGACTTGACAGGATCCTCACTATTAGCAAGAGAATCAGAGTGCCCAGACCAAGCCCTGCGCACCGCCCTGGCAACTGATACTGGCCACGGAAGAGTGGGTATTCTAGAAGCACTGCAGCATCCTGGCAGACACTTATCCGAGGCAGCGGTTGCAGCGGCGGTGGCGCTGCTCAAGGACGACAAAGCGGCTGTGCGAGACAACGCCGCCCAAGCCTTAGGGCGCCAATCGAGCCTACCGGAGGCGGCGGCGACGGCGCTGGTGGCACTGCTCAAGGACGACAACGCGGCCGTGCGACATACGGCCCAAGCCTTAGAGCGCCAATCGAGCCTACCGGAGGCGGCGGTGACGGCGCTGGTGGCGCTGCTCAAGGACGACGACGCGGCCGTGCGACATACCGCGGCCCAAGCCTTAGGGCGCCAATCGAGCCTACCGGAGGCGGCGGCGACGGCGCTGGTGGCACTGCTCAAGGACGACAACGCGGCCGTGCGAGACAACGCCGCCCAAGCCTTAGGGGGCCAATCGAGCCTACCGGAGGCGGCGGTGACGGCGCTGGTGGCGCTGCTCAAGGACGACGACGCGGCCGTGCGACACGAGGCCAACTATGCCTTAGGGGGCCAATCGAGCCTACCGGAGGCGGCGGTGACGGCGCTGGTGGCGCTGCTCAAGGACGACAACGCGGCCGTGCGACGCGAGGCCATCCAAGCCTTATGGGGCCAATCGAGCCTACCGGAGGCGGCGGTGACGGCGCTGGTGGCACTGCTCAAGGATAACGACGGGGCCGTGCGACGTAGGGCCGCCGAAGCCTTAGAGCGCCAATCGAATTTGTTAGACAAGATCCTCATAGCTATTGGGTTATTGCTGGAATCCGAGAGAACAGCTGAGACTACGAGCTCTACCCTTCGCAATCCTCAACCTGTGGAATTTTTATATGAGAGTTTGCTATGGCGCAGTTTTAAGGAACAATTTAGCTTGTATATTGATAATGGCCACAGCTCTTGCATCATCAACCAAGCGAGTGGACTCCGAACAGCCTCTTTTGAGCATAGCAGCCAGTGCGACGAATTCCTAGCCGTAGTAGGGAAAGGTCGTGAACTTTGGAATACCCGTGGCTACAAGTTGTGGGACAGTTTGAAGGAATAAGAGTAAAACTATACAATATTGTTTTCCCTTCTCTTTGCCTTTATACAGGTCATAGGGGGCGTGACAAATATACCTCTAGGCTCTACGTTCTAGGGTCTTCGCTCTGTTTAGTGGTTGCAGAGCTGTTGTCGTATGCCTATGGCGTCATGCATGCACCATGGTGTCTCAATCTCGCAATGTCCTTCGCCGAAAGCGGGATGGATCTACTACAGCGACCTTCTTGCGATTGGTTGGAGGTTGCAGAATTGCCCCCTCGCCACCACGCCGAGCCATTTTCGGGAAATATTTTTGCTAATCAGCCTTGCCCGAAGTTGTTGGCGAAAATTTCAAACCCAACACAGACCTGAGACAAGCCCCAAAGTCAATGAGGAATATATTTGACCAATCACATCGCTGGTTTTCAAACTTCTCGCGACGTGTAGGTCGCGTTTGATTGGTTCACAAAGGCCTATTAGCTAACACTCGAACATTGAGCGGTGAGCTCTGGCAGAAATAGAACAAAGCATGGCGAAGCCCAAGATGATCGCGGTGGGAGCATACAAAATTACAACTTCTTCCTTGTCCGTACTAGCCTAGCCTCGACGGGCGGTGGCATTAGCTGGGACTCCGCCAGCACTTTGATGGCCACAGCACCATACCTGGAAGACAGACCCTGAGTAGTGAGATGGAGAGGCTGGTCTGGGCCTGAATGGACAGACATAGCTATGCTTAGGTTTACTACTATATTACAAAAGCACTATTCACCCGGTGAATATCTAATGAGTGCCTTAAACTCTTGATGTAAATTTACCTCGTGGTCTGACTCTATCTAGAATTCCTAGGAGTCCCCTTGCCCCTCTTCTTTAGCTTTGTACAGTAACGAACCTGAAGGCTTCCCTGAGACCGCCGTTGCGGAAATTCATTGCTAAATTGTTTATGAATTTCTGGCCAAGGAAGCTGCTCTTCTTCCTTCAATTTTACAATGAGATCATCCTCCTCACGGGTGAAAGTATGACTAGCCGGGCTTCGCTGGGTTCGGTTCAACCTCTTCGCTTCATGAGTCTGGATTTTATTGCCGTTATAAGAGCCCGGCAAATGGCCACCAGCGCACGGCTTCCAGCTGAACTCCAATTGGAATGTTATTTTGCCGTTCATGGCCAAGCGTTTGAGTGTGGCTCCTTGTACAGGCCATTCCTCATATTTTGCAGCTGGCACTTCAGCATCAGCTGCGGTAAGGGAGCCATGCGACGAGACCGAGCTGGCGCCATGGACCGGCGTGTGTAGTCCTGATGGATTTGCCGCATGTGGATGATCGGTGAGGCGTGTACTACGGCGATGGGGTCTGGGCTAGGCTGATAGCCCACCTTCCGGCGTTTGCGTGTAGGGGGTAGATCAGAACTGTCCGCTTCATCATCCCGTCCACCCCGGCTTGTAGAGGGGCCATAGTCCTCGTCCTGTACATCAGCTTCAGAACGAGAGCTTGAGCTGGTGTCAGAATCAGAATCGCAGTGTGAGGCCACGTCTTGCTTAGGGCTAGAGTAGTTCTTGCGTTTTCCCTTGCGGCGAAGCTGTCGGGTGGCTACGGCATCAGAAATCTTATCGATCTCAGGATTATCTGAAGGGACCTGCCCCTGAGGTTGGCTGACCGTGTCACTGCCTACATTGCTACTATGATTGTAGTCAGGCCGAGAATGAGTGAGATAGTAATTGTAGAGTCGTTTCTTTCTAGAAGATGTGTCGCGGGCCTCAGAAACACTGTTGTGGTCTGAAGGAGCAGTAGGCATAGATATATCGCCCTCTTGGCGGAGATCGCTAATAAAGCATTGAGGGGCTAGGGGCTGACCAAAGTCATCGTCGATGACGCTGTCGTGGTGCTCTTTTTCTTCTTCGTGGACGCTTAGCGAGTTGGATGATATGAGACCGTCCTCCTCGCGCTGTCGCATGGGGTCGTCAGAATTGGAGCTGGCGTGAGAGACGAATTGAGAAACAGAGCAATCCTCCGTACAGCTTCCTAGTAAGCGCCCGCATCTCTGTGTCTCGTCTCGTGTCTGCTCGATCGCATGATGAAGCGAGGTGGCTGTGGCATTGGAAGCCTCATAATTCTCAGAGCTCTCGCATTGTGCTTCTGATCCACTGGAGAGGGTTGGTGGTGGATAAGAAATCTCTAGCATCTCCGGAAGGTGGCCAGTTGTCACAGCATCGCCTGAAGCGACCAACTCCATACAGTCAGGACTACCTGATATATGGCTCTGCATTGCACTACTGGCTTGCGCAGTGGTTGGTGTGGAAGGAAGCGGTGTGTCTGCACCTGTTGCAGCCTCCTGGCCGGACCGACTGGCACCCGTGTCGAGTGACAATGGCTGGTTGGTATCATTGAAGAGAGATCCTAAATAAAGCTGTTAGCTTCCCCTGAATATCGCAATAAAAGTATACCTCAGCAACTTACCAATAGGGCACAGATCAGGAGAACCCTTCTTAACAGATGTGAGGATGGTATTGATCGATGGAAGTGTATCATCTGATTTTGAGTCATCATCCATGTCCTCGGAGCCACTGCAAGTAGCTGGCTCGTCTGTCTCGAATGTACTCTCATCATCAGACGAGATATAGATTGGCTCATCGGATATGTGAGAAGCTGTTGTAGAAGATGGCCGGGAGGAAGGCTCTCGATGAAAAATAAATTGACGCTGCTGTGACGCCTGGCTGGCACGCTCTGAGTCTGCAGCAGCTGGAGGGGCCCAGATGACCATCGTATCTAGATTTACCATGGATCCCATGGTGATGAGAAGGAAGAGGTTGAGCAGCGTGCTTTCGGGCTCTCGTTTGCTGAGGGGATTAGGAGCCTTTTGTAGGTAAAAGATGGCCAGTATCGCCCTCGGTGTCGCCCTTTCCCCCTTTCCTCTGCCCTTGTCCTCGCCTCTGCTCGTATATGCTCTCGGACCTTTCCAGCGATTTGTGTCCGAGCTACGCACACATTACTAGGTCCGCCAATGATGAAGCCGCCTGGCCACGTCCGACACACATAACAGAGGAGCACTCACAGCAGGCGTCTCAACGGGGATCCACTCGCCTGGCTGAGAATGCAGATTTCGGCATCTCCGAGGGCCTATCACGTACTTGATAGGCTCCCGCCCTCTTGGCAGTGTATCAAAATCTGGGCGCTGCCTGCTGTGACCTCCCTGGTTGGGAAGGGATTGGCCTCGAAAGTTCATTGACGAACGTCCCGCCGGCCTGCGTCACGCGTGCAAAAGGTCGTGGAGCTGTTGCCTGGAAGGATGCGAATTCGCTGGCCCTTTCCCTCTCGGGCTTCGACCCTTGCCCAGATATATGCTGCCTTGCATCCACGCGATCCTCCATAAGTAACCAGCAGGGGAAATGGGGAAAGGGAACAGCAATGCCGGGGCGATGAGCGGGCGGCCGACTGTGCAGAGCTAATTCGAGGCTCATTTCCCTTCTCTCGTATCAGTTCATCCTGCTTTATGACTCAAGAGTGATCGTATAACAGCATAAGACAACCCAGCTTGACAGGGGAGCACGGGCTTTGCGCCATATTCGCTTAACCGAGTCAGCTTCGCGTCAAACTGATCATCATGCTGGGCTCCCACGTCATTATAGCTGCTGAGCCATCGCGAGCGGCACAGGAGCGGTCGAGACCAGGAACAGCAGGTAGCAATTGAGGGAAGGTTTCATAGCGGCGTATAAGCTTAGCAGCCCCTGACCAGGGAGATAGCAACCAGGGCCCGTCAACCGCGTCATGGTTGCCCGCTTCGCTCTCTCCTCCCACTCTCTGCGGACCAATCGGGGAGCACCTTCGTGTTAGAGGCCCCTGGAATACCCGCCCCCCATACCAGACCAATCAGCCCGAGATTGCACCGCGCTCCGTCATGCTATAGGGGCTGTTGATGAGCAGTGCGGCATTTCTACCATTGGCCGGGTGTCTGTTGGAGGCCTCACGAGAGAGAGCGTTGCTATGAGATACTCCGCTGGTGCCTGAAAGACATCGAAGTGCTGTGAGGCGGCCCGGGGTCACGCCCTTTACACTGCAGGCGTTGTTAGAATCCCGTAAGGGACAGTAGCGGAAAGAGAGCCGTACGAAATGCAGAGAGCGGGATATGGCATAACAGGATAGGCTAATCGCGAATTTGAATCGTAGAATGCCTCATTGGACCGTGTATACTGCGATGAGAACATGCATTGGGGGATGGCAGCTGTCTCGCTGTTGGTCTGGTCAACGCCGGCGGGAGGGGAACTTCATTCCAACGCGGCACCAGAATGGCGCGACAGGATAAGCGACGGGACCAGGTGGGACGTAGCAGTGCAAGAGGCGAGACGAGAAAAGGCGGAGTGTAGGGGAGAAGAAAAAGTCAAAGATACATCTTCACACTCGCCAAGTGGTCGTCGTCTTATATAGGGGAGAGTCACGTGACAGGAACCGTGGTGGTGTGGCGGCGGGCGCACCTTGCCCGTTTGGGGGTGGCCGCCAAACCGGAGGGGGAAGCAGCGCGTCCGCGATTACTAAGATAATAGTAAGGATTACTTTAATATATTCTATAATAAGGAGCTATTTCTACTACCCTTCTTTATTAATTATAATTATAAATATATAAATAATACTGTACCTGGGCGCCATCATGATAATCAAGCCAAGGAATTAATGGCCAATTTCAACGCCGATATAGAGTATCAAAAGCAACTCACTCTATAAAAGGGTCTCAAGGAGGATAGACAAGCACTTTTATCAGCCCTGAAGAAGAAACCTAAGACTCTCTAGAAGAGTCTACTACTGTATATAGTTCCTCTAACAGCATTGATTACTGTATACCTACTACCTATATAGGTATCAGTGCTATGTAAAGATTAAGTCTTGGTATATACCTAGTAAAGCTATTTCTAGACTAGCTTATAAATATATAAAAGACTATAGGAACATCCTTTCAGCCATTTATAGCTGAAGTGAGGTTCTAAACATCAAATTATTAAATAGAAAGAGAAAGCCAACACTTCTTTCAGTTGACCATATATAATTTAGACATCAATTAAAATGTTTCCAAACGAAATCTGGCATATGATTACTCAGAACTTAAGAGATCCCAAGACTATTTTCAACTTCTCACTTTCCCACCTACATGCGAAAAAGAAGCTATCTTCTATATCTATTTGGGCGCCAATATTCAAGGAGACCAGTTGGATTGATATCTATAAGCTCCTCCCTGTTCTTATTCATCGGAATGAAAACTATGCCTATCTCATTTTAGTCTCACAGGGCAAAGAACAGGTGGATATGGAGGGCGTGATTAGAAATTCGCTCCATCCGCACACAGCTTGTGAGAGTCCTTGCGAAGTAAGAATCCAAGACTTTACTCTGAATATTAGCTATATTATGTGGAAAATGATGATTCTATCTCGAGATATTAGTTGGGCTAAGCAGGACGTTTATTTCAGCATCTATGGCCGTCGAGGTGTATATAAAACTAAGGGTCAAGACCTTAGGGACATGGTACTCGTTCAGATACCTGATAAATCTGAGGAATCTGGGAAAAAGTGTATATTTTTCTGGAACGATGTAAACCTAAGCCGTGATGTTTGGCCGATTTACTCATTGACAGGATAAATTCGTTATTGCTAGTCAAGTTATAAGCTGCGAAGAATAGGACATATAGAATAACTCTTTATTTTTAAGATGATTATAATATATTAGGCGAAAGATTACTATAGTGAGAAATAGGTTACATATAGAGTATCTTTATCTTTAGAGATTTAATAGATATATATATTATTCTAAAAAGCTTAAGCTTAATATTACAGAGAAGCTTGACGGTCAGCAGCACTTCGTGCTACTGGGTTAAAATATTAAGTACATAAAAGAGCTATTCGCTAGAGACTTAAGGGTTTCCTGCTAAATCTTAGAGTTTAATACCACATGTTCTATATTGCAAATTACACCTTGCCCTCGGGGTATATCAAAATCAAGTATTTAACTCTTTCGCCTCAAGAAGGCTGCACATACTGCAATGTATGGCCGAGTACTATGTAACGATAAAATTAGTTCCTAAAGTATGAACTTCGATGTTGGTTCAGACTTGCTCATGAGCTATTTTTGCTGCTGCAAAAGAAAGAGCAGATCTTGATCGTTGCGATACGTCCATATTTAGGCACTTGCCGTTCTTCATAAAACCCTGCTAATTGTACTTGTACTGGAATGTAATCAAACCCGGTACACGAAATATGTCATTCCTGAGCTACACCTCTAGTGCTACCCCGCACTGCCTGAATTGCCTTGTCCAGCAGGTCCATTCACTGAGGACCGAGAACCAGCAATTCAAACAAACTTGCTCTTTCTACACGGAGGAACGTAATGAATCAAATCGCCGTATGGACGAAATCAATAAAGAGAATCGCTATCTTGAGGGCAAAAGGAACATCGACGAGGCAAAGATCCGCCACCTTGAGCAAGAAAACTGCAGACTTGAGGAAGAAGGTCGGCCAATGACTTTCATCGTTAAAATGCAGAAGGAGGTGATCGAACACCAGAATGCATATATTCAAGCTATGATAGCTGGCGGCAATGGGACAACTGTCCAGGACCCCGAAGTCCCCTATTTAGCTCCAGAACCTGTTCCAGAAAGCCCGACGCTAAGCACACAGCAACTAATGGATTTTGATGATACGCAAAATAGGAGGCAATACGAGATAGAACCGTCGCCCAAGAGACACAAGAGAGAGACTTAAATCCATTGCGTGTATCTACCGCCTATGATCTAGAGCTAAAGAGTGTTAATAATCATAGCCTAACGATATATCCTAAGGGGATCCTATAACTGTATAGCTTGGTTTGTTCAGTGATAATTGCTTTCCTACGCGAGCTAGGCTGGTTGGGGCGGGAATCAATGGCTGTGGCTAGAGAATAGTTAAACTTTGTTGCGATATAGGAGCCAGCCTGGACGGTCTCACTACAATGGATCCTGATAAGGAAAGTAGCTAAACTGGCTGTAATAGATCGTGGTGGGGAAGAGCCAAAATAGATATAATGAACCCTCGTGGAAAAAGTAGCTATTTTAGTCGAAGCCAAACTGGCTGAAGATTAATAGACTAAATAATATAGCCCCTTGCTCGCGAAATATATAATAGCAGGATTTCCACCCCAGAGTTAAATCAATATACTTACATCATCTCTCCCTCATTAAGAATACACCCCCTATAATCTATTAAAAGCAACGATATCTGACATGAACCTCACCACTTCCTCATCCTTACTTCCGGCGCAAAGTCAAACTAGGCGAGATCTCAGCCATCTCCAAGAGAATATTGCCGCTAATCAATCCGGTTATATAATTGCGGATGAATCTACTGAATCTCCAACCTTTGCTCCGATAGGTAGTTCTGGGAGCCCGTCCGACATCATGCGACAAGGGACTAAGGCCGCCATGGAAAACTCAGCTACATTTGGTAATACTGAGAAGATACGTATTCAGCTATCCTAGCTAATATTACTCTAGGGTTGGATAGAGAATACCCTGTAAATGATGGAGACACGCAGAAACAAATGGAAGCCTGCCAGCAGGAAGTTAGTGGGATGATTTCGCGGCAAACGGCATGTGGAATTGCGCCTGAAGCCCAAATGTAATTATTCCCTTACCGCTTCTGCGATACCTATATGCATGAGGTTATAGGTCATATATATCTAGTGAGGCTATATATGAAAAGTAAATAAGTACTATATATATATCTTGAAACACTGGACCGCAGCACCCTTTAATAGTATTATTACTGAAGCGCTTTACTAGTTTTTAGGGGTTATTCGTTATTAAAATAACAATTTAATTAATCTATAATAAAATATTATTAAGGGTGAGATAATGAGAGTGTTGGTGTCGCCACCTAACAGCTTCCAGATTGACAGGTAAAAGGGATAAATTGAGACTGTTGCTTCTAACTAGTAATTACAGAGGGGATCCGCGGCCCCTTATATCCCTGAGAATCCCTCGATCGTATTCTCATGCGAGCAGCCCGGTCTCGGGCTCGTAAGGTCCTTCCGATATCCTTCTGGCTAGTAATTGCCAGGGATATTCATATCCGGATGACCGAGGTCATCCTCTTCCTTCAAGCCGTGTGTTCAATAGGATCAGAACGCTCTTCGAGGCATCGGGTCCGCGCCGATCTCTCGGTATTAGGTTGATCGTCAGATCAGTAGGTTCGCGATCAATTCTACCGGCTAGGGTTGCTCGAGCCGATAGGTCAGGGTTCTGACGATCGGTTCCAGTTAGGTTGTAACCTTCCAACCTAGTCAATTGACCCCTCTCGGTGAAACTGATCCTTCTAGGTCTGTTGAATCGTAGCCGCGGCTATCGTGTGATTGAACCTTACTTTTGCCTTCGAAGCCGGGCCGGCTTCCACGGAATTCCTGATGTTAGTTACTAGCGAATTGTATGTGCGTTCGAACAGGCTGGGCTGCGGGCTTCAACGCTCGTGGATTATCTCGGTAGTTGGCGATACCTTCCTATCGCCCGCTTGGCTCCAACAGAGAGATTTGTCTTGAGGATGAGAACTCTTTTAATGTGTTTTATATAACTTGCTCCCCTGGGACTCTACCCGAGATAGCCTCAGCGGGAGGTCTGGCTACTAGCACGCCCGAATAAATTGATTTCTCCTCATCTGAACCTCACTCAAACGTTAAAGTTTAGGTAATATACTGCGCAGAGATAGCCTGAGCAGCACCAATGGCAAGACTAGCTAGATATATAGTTATAGTTTCACTGGAGAAGTAGAAGGATTGCTTAAAAACAGTTAGATTGCTTTATATTAGGCTACATACTTGATGCAATCCACGGCATGATACCTTCTTCTTTCCAGCAATCGTACGATCACGTCTTCAGAGTAGCAGTATCGAGAATTGTGGATCAGGGTTCCCTGAACATCACCCATCCACAGTACGTTAATAGGGCCAAGCATTGTTTCTAAGTTTGTGTAAATAATGCGATCTTTCAGAACTATAACACCCTGTATATTACTGCCAAAGTGTTCGGCGCTGCCTTGGTTTGCTCCAGCTCGTATACCAATCACGTCCGTCCACCCGAATCTTGTGACTTTCGTATGGTTCTTTCAGGCGCTTCCTTCGATTTTCGAGAATGCGATAACATGTCGTGCCATCTCCAAATTTAGTTTTAACCGAACATATTGTACTAACTATACCCCATTTCTTCCTCCCTTGAATACCATCTATATTCCTGATCTTCTCTTTAAATTGCGCATCATAATATAATGCATAAGTATATAACTGATCATTATCCACTTGAAAATAAGACTTCGGGTTCTCAACCAAGACAGTTTCTGATCCAAATATATCTGCTATATTTAAGGTGATCCCATGTTGAGGAAAGTAAACCTCTTGGGTGTGCTTGTTATATTCATGGGGTTGAAGCGAGTTAAAAAATGAATTCCGACGATAGTATAGATCTCCTGACCAATCATTTGCCAATAGAACAAGTTTCAGGCCGTCATAACCGTCGTCGATCTTCGCTAAGTCTGATCCGAGCAAAATCGGAATTGCTCCATGAAAATAAGAATCCTTTTGTAGTTCATTTTGCTCTTGAACGATATGAAACCAGTGGTCGTTAACTTCATTAACAGGCTTGAAGAGGAGACCCCAGATCCATAAATCTGAATGGAAAGAGGGTTGTTGAGACTTTAATTTTTCTATGTTTGCTAATCTGGCTGCTTGGGGCACAAGGTTATAGATTGAATTGAAAAGTTCTCCCGGCAGCGATAATATGAACTTAGATAAGGAAGACATTTGTCTCAGCTAGCTAGATTCTAAAGACATGGATCTGGTGCCCTCTTAAATGTAATTATCATGGTGGTATTAGATAATAAGCTAAAAATAGCTGCGCCTGTTAGGTTGGAATTTAACAAGTTAAGACCTAGGAAGTAGTATAACCGGCTTCCTCTTTTTTAACATACTTTAAATATCAACTAATACTCCACACGGTATGTACTATTTGTCACAAAATACACTTTATATAAATTCTTATATAAGTTAAGACTTAGAGCTAAAGCAACTCTATTCCTATTTCTTAGACTTAGCCTAGAAATAGGTACCTCCCGCCTCTGTTAGAGCCTACTCTAGAGTTATAGCTAAGGCTGCCTAAGGCTTAGTTAAGACCCTTGAAGAGGCTGTTATATATATATAATTTTAAGAATCTAACTGTTACTCCCGTCTAGAGCTGTGCATTCCAGTTCAGATAGTTATAATTCTATATTGAGATAAATATATACTTATAGATATAGTAACTAGCCTATATATACCTATTACTATATATTTAGCCTAAAGCTAAAGTCGGCTTTACATTTAAAGGAACTACCCTTTAGAGCTACTTCTAGCCTATAATTATATATATATACCTAGCTAGATACCGGTATAAGAACAAAAACTAATTTATATTATATAACTCCTAGAGAAACTAAATTGTTAAACTTATAATGTTACCACCTAAGTATATTGATCTTACGCTGGATAATTGTGATTCATGCCAGAAAGAACTTGATGAAAATAGAACTCTCTATCAATCCTTACGGGAGGTTCGTTTTACTTTTCCTTATTATCGAGTTTTGCTAAAGAAAGATAGCTATACTGTTCTTCGAAGTGCGTCGAAACTCGGACGAAGTTTTTCAAGCGTAACGAATGTGTTATATGCTACGACACGTATACTAGCAAGAGGGTGATCCGGATTTTACCATGCGGTCATAGCTACTGTGACGAATGTCTTCAAACGCAAACCCAAACATCAGAATGCCGAAATTTGTGTGGCGAATGTCGAACACCATATAAACTTAGGGAACGTAGAGGGCGCATAGGGCATCAAGTAAAACTTATCCAACGAACTAGAAGGAGGAAAGACAGAAATGATATAACCTGGACGCACAGAAATGAAGAGGCAATTGATATAAGAGATGTTTGTCTCGCTGGAAACAAGCCAACTGAGTTTATCGTGGTGCGTGTTGGTGCAAGGAAATTAGTGATGTTTTACGACAATCAAAGGCAGGAATATCAAACAGAAGATGGTAAAATAGTTTACCCTAAAGCTATTATTCGCTCCACGACACGATTAGCTTAGAAAACTTGTTGAAAAATCATTGCATAACTACGTAATTCAGCAACTCCTACTTCTTATACGCTATGCTAACTACAATTTTTCCAACCTTCCCCCTTCTTAGCCCTTTGGTGCTATGTCTCTTTGTTTGCGCTCTCGAGATTGAAGTCTATGCTGTAGAATTTGGCTGTTCCACGGGACGTCGTTTTGTGATATAAATGTATTTTGCTTCGCCTCTGGATGTGACTGTCTTGTGTTGCACCCTGCAAGGGTTAGCTTTGTTGGTTCAAGGACCACCACACCTGATAATGACAACATTTACTAAATGGCTCGGGAAATCCCGTGTGCTTGTCATTTGATATAATAGTCAACATGAGATCCGCGCCGTGAATAAACACCTTTCCGCACGCAATATGATATATCTTGCCATAGGCCCTAATGGCTAGTTCTGCCTTTGTGGCTTAAATTTGATGATTATGCTTTGACTATACTTTTGCCATGTCTTTATGGCCATTAATGGCTCCATAGTATACATACTATATAGATTCTTTTGCATATAGAGCCCAACGTCATTGGAGAGCGACTAGAAGTCGTACAAAAAAGTAGGATCATCCTGTTGTACGCCTTTTTCGAATCTGATCTTGGGTAGCCCTTGTCGTGTCCTCGGACCAGTACTTCAATCTATTCGCATACCATGACGCTCCTTGGAAGCCAAATACCTCTGGAAGCAGGGTCTCAACAGCTACCCATGGTAGAACTTTTAATTCCAGGGTTCGCCATTATTTCCAATGCTATCAGTCAGATCTTTAGTGGCCAGCTTAGTGGCTGTACTCAAATTCTATGCCTCTTCGTGTTGGTTGCTCTCTCGAAACCATATCTATTTCAATTGAGAGATTGGTTTCTAGAATTCTTCCGTAAGTTTCCGTTTCTTGCTCTACGTTAAGAATGCTAAATTTTATGTTTTAAAGAATGGACGATTCACATTAGGCCCTACGAGGAAACTTACAATATGGTTCAGGGCTGGATTTTATCTCATAAATCAGACCGCACTGCCCGATCCGTTCTGGTCACTATGGGAGCAAGACAAAACAATGAAGATAGCTTTAATGCTTACTCTAAGAAACTACTCAGCTATCTCCCCTGGGAGGGAGTCTTCTATTTCTGGTATAAGAAGAACTTACTTATGTACAGAACTACACATACAGATCTTGGTTTCCGTATAGAGGAGAAAGTCTCTATTTCATGCATCAGTCGATCTCCTTCTATCTTAAAAGACTTTATGTCAGAGTGCCACCGTCAGTATCTGAAAACACTAAGAAACAAAACAATAATCTATAAAAATCAGGGCAATAATTGGAAGATTGATGCGACAGTTGATACTCGACCTCTTTCGACAGTTATTCTGAATGAGTGCCTAAAAGAAACAGTTGTACAAGACCTTACAAAGTTTCTTGACCCTGAGACTAGGCGTTGGTATTCTGATCGCGGAATTGCGTACAAACGATGATATCTGTTTTACGGCCCTCCAGGGACGGGTAAAACGAGCTTCAGTGTTTCAATTGCTGGTGAATTGGATATGAATATTTACATATTTAGTATCCCGAATATAGACGATCGAAACCTGAAAGATTTATTTGCTAGTCTTCCGGAAAGATGTATTGCATTACTGGAGGATATCGATGTTATTGGAGCTGCTAGCCCTCAACACTTCAATCCTTCTGAACCAGACAATAATAGAGATATTCGATCCTCCCCAGGAGGGGTATCTCTCTCCAGCGTTTTGAACACCCTTGATGGTGTTTCATCCCAGGTTAATCGAATTTTTATCCTAACGACGAATCATCTTCACAAACTCGATAAAGCGATTATTAGGCCTGGTCGGGTTGATATGAAAGCCGAATTTGAACTCGCTAGTAAGTCCATTGCGAAGGCTATGTTCACCTATATGCTTGGGGGTCAGGAAAATGTCGATACAGAGGAACAATCGGAAGCTTTTGCCGGAAGAGTTCCAGATAGCAAGTTTAGCCCGGCAGAGATCATGAATTATCTTCAGAGATACCGCAAGGCCCCGGCCGGTGCAGTCGAAAACTGTGGGAAGTGGGTGGACAATCTCCTCCAAGAAAGGAGGATGAATAAGTAGTGGCAAATCGGAAGAGGCAAACTAAACCTGGTTGGCTTTTAGCGTCTGATTAGAAACGAAATGCTATTTCTCGATAGGCTATGAGAGCTAGCAGGTATCAGCCAGTAATTTCGTATGTTGGACTGTCAGTTGCAATAAGAGCCCTTTGTTATTTTCCAACCTTGCACATCTGATTTCCTGTGACTTCAGAAAATGAACCAATTTAACCTACTGAACTGTCGATTCTTAGAACCACAGCTATGAAATCTAGTATAGTAGAACTAACTCGAAATCTGAGCTCAAAATCCTCCATCCTACATCAAACGACCATCCATAGTATACTTGTTGTCTTGTAGTAGCATTTCCAATTACGTAACCAAACTTTCAGCATGGTTACTGAAGCTCTGGATACTCTCTGTCTCCGTAAATTTCGTTCCTTGTCTCACTAATTGAATACGGGCAGAGTACGTTGTGAAAATAGTGCCGTCCTTTGGTTTGATATAGGTCAGAACCATCGCAAACATCTCGTCCAAACATCCATTAGAAGAATAAGCTGAAAGACTATAGCACCCATTCAGCTTTTTCGAGTCGTCAACTTGAAAGGGTGTTTCCTCCTCAAGCTCTCGTCTAGCTGCTGCCCCTGCATCGGTGTCTTTTGGAGTCATTTTTGCCTGCCGGAAAAGCAATCGAGTATTTCCCAGTTGCTGCGCGGAATTGCCGCGTTAAGGACAAAAATTCCCTCACCCTCCATGGCATAGATTGGTACGATGATGACAACTTGAGCTGGTGAATTAGATTGCGCGTTGCGACGGGGGGACTATGTCTGTACGGCATTTTCCAGTGTCAAGTTTGGAGGGGAGGAATCACGAGCGGCAACGGGGATTATTTTATAGGAGGGGATGCAAAGCTAACTCCATTCTCCTCTGGGTTATGTACAGCTAAAGCTTGCACGTTGCTTTAAACAGCCTAGGGTCCCAGCGGCCAGGCGCCATTTATGGACAAAATCTTATCATCCCCATCATCAAGAAACCCTAAAATATACCACAATTTTGATCTGACTGCCATTTTATCTCTTGCAGAACATGAGTAGGGATTCCATAAACCATGTATATAATATCGCTCTTTCATCGCTTGTCTCTGCTGTTAATGTCGCTGGTTGCTTTGCGTATCCTCGCTAGGCCCCAGAAACATAACAGTATCACAGAATTTACTACCCACAGGCAAAAGATAATAATTGCAAAGACATGTTGTGCCAGCTCTACGCTAATCACGTAAGAGGGAGCAGTAGTATCCATCTTTAACAGCAACTGCGGAGTGATGTTCAGGTTATGGGTATATACAGTATAATGAACGAACTATCTTTAACATTCTACAATGAAATACAGGTTCAGCGTCCGCTTTATAGCTCTGTTATATTTATGAAGGAAGTCACTTAGTGGGTCTGATCACAGTGTGCAGTTTAATTGGATAGAGTACCCCACCTAACAGGAGCCATTTTTAGTCTCTGTGACAAGAACCATTTCTGGTCTCTTTGACAAGAGCCATTTCTGGTCTCTGTGACAAGAGCCATTTCTGGTCTCTTTGACAAGAACCATTTCTGGTCTCTTTGACAAGAGCCATTTCTGGTCTCTTTGACAAGAGCCATTTCTGGTCTCTTTGACAAGAGCCATTTCTGGTCCCTGCAACAGAATGACTCTTGTTAAAGGCTTACGCCAATTGCAGCGGACCCTAGCGTCCTTCTGCTACCCCCCACGTTTCCCCCCTCGCTCGGTTTCTTCCTTCATGCAGACTAGAACACCCTTCTCGATATGGCGTCCGATCCCAGAACGACCAGATCCTCCATATGATAAAGGCTTTTCTAACGAGGCTATTCTTGATGTTCTGCCTTGTACAAGTCGATCACTGCGGAGAATACGATCGACATTCGCGCGATTTGGAACGACAACTGCACCTGCGAAGCGCACTGCCCGAGCCTAAGATTACCCCAACGATGGCAAATGTGCTTTTATGATGATAGTATCGTGATAATTGTATTGGGGCTCGGGAACTCGTGTTTCGGCTTCCTCTGCGATTTTAGGTTCTAGGTTCTCTGGCTACTGGTGTACTGGAATCAAGCTCATAGTGATCAAGCCCAAAAGCCGGTACTCCAACGTAAATCGCCTCTACGACGTCCTCAGAACCTATAGGGATGCGAAGGTGCGATGGTGTATCATTGGGAGCGTAGGAAAGGAAGGAAGCGCAGGAGGGGGAAATGGATGGAACGCGAAAGAAGGCGATAGAAACAAGGATCAAGATACATTTTTGGATGCCACCTTGCCGAATCTGTCATAGCAGAAAGACATGATGGGGCTTACCTGCGAGGATAAAAGGTTTCTGGCCTGGTATTTATATTATTAAGGTCGAGAATCGAAAGAAACACAGTACTCATCTATTTGGCACTATGACATGGTCGTAGCAGGACTTCTTTTCAAAAATAGCTTAATCACAAGAAAGGGAAGCTGAACATAGTTTTTATTACAGCTGTATATGTATTGCACAATACACTATACTCCACAGGACTCTAGGTACATATCATGTATTTACATATATACAGTACTCGCTTAATGCGAAAGCTATTAATAGACTCGAGGAAATTCCAAAAGTTACAAAAGCTATTTCCGGCTATATTTATTTCCGGCACTGTGCGAGACTAACAATAACTAATCTGAAGTTATAAAATCCCAGACCTCGATTCTGTCAAACAGGAGACTCCCGGATTCATTATGACTCATTACCTACACCACCAGACATATAGACGGTTTCGACCTCGTATTAGTTCGCCGCTTTGTCACGAGATTGACTACGAAACAGGACCTTACAAAAGTTTCATCTGCAATTGTGATTCTGACCAAGATGTGAAGAAAACGAGGAAACAGGCGAAGATGGAGAAGAAGGACCGATTGGCTTGGATCAAAGAGGCATTCAGGTTAAATCCAGAAGAAAGGATTGAGTTTTATAAGAAACTGAAAGAATAACAAACTTCCTAGATATGCTAGACCCTAGGTGTAAAACAATAATTCATCTGGTTGGATATTTGTTTATATTTTGGAGCATAACCACCTTCCTCTTCATAAGCACATGCTAAATATAAACTGAAGATACTGGAGCTACCTCGTTTAGGGCATATGATAGTTTTTCTTGCTGTCTGTACGGGATCTGGGAAATCTGGGACTTGATCTAAATAGTATGAAAATGCTGAGGTTACTTCTGGTACTCCGTTGGCGTGGTGCGGCGAGGATATATATATCGCCATCTCTTCTGTTTCCTCCTTGGGAGTTTTTAGCGATTCTTATAGTGGGATTAATTGAACCTCCCCTAATGTATCTGCTAGGCTAGCCTAGCTAGTCTCGCCTTATCGCGGGTAAGAAGACCTTTATTAACAGGATTATTATAGAATCTTAGGATTTGGGCTTGAATGTAAGGCTCCCTAAATATATTATATATAAAATATAGAAAGCGCTATCGAATTCAGCTAACGTCTTTCAAGTGATTTCAAAAATAAAGATCGGTCTAATATAACCCTACCTTTTAACTTCCCCTCTATCTCAGATTTCTTAACTGTTAGATACTGTATTAGCAAAAACATAGACCCTGCCTTTTGTTCTAATATTTGTAACGCACACCTTTGCTTGTAGATAGAATGGATAGCTTTGTAAAAGGAAGCCTCACAGGATGACTACAACGGGCTGCCTACTATGACTGCTTCTGCAACTCTAGAGCAGACCTCTGTGTCGAGCAGTGATCCTATTCTAGGAGTATATAGACATTCGAATCAACACGTTCTCAGGCTCCTATAGAACGTTTTTCTGATTCGTTAATTGTAGGTAAATACTCAAGGGAAAGAAGGGGTTGTTCGGATTATAGATAGCTAGGTTCATAGTAATAGAGTAGCTTTCTGCAGAACCTGGAGTATGGAGGGGGTAGGCGAGCTGTAGCTTTTAAAACAAGGGCTCTTCGGAACCTAATAGAAAGATAGATATATGGAATCTAGGGTTCGCGAATTATCGCCTAACATATAGCGCCGCGGATGTTGCCAAGGTTCCGAACAGACAGACCCCAGCGGTCAACCTAAGCAAGTCTCTATCTTAATCTATAACAGTTATTTTATCTTTTTCTTTCAACACATAGTATCTTTCATATATGATTAATTCTTTTTCAAGATATAGAATATTAATTTCGATATAGAAAACTAATAGAAAATCAAGAGTTAATATACTCTGGAGATGAATTTGGCTGGTATCCAAAAACTATACAACCAAACTGCCTACGGAATCCAGCACCCAAGTTCATATTGCATTTTCGCCAGCTACCAACTATATTATACCAGCAGGTGCCTCCCGCATCTAATAATTGCTCTGATGTTTCCTGGCATCCATCTTTCCACGAAGCAGATAATTGGTAGATTCTATCCGCCTGATCTTTGTAGAGTTCCGTGATACTATCAACGGAATTTGACATTGATACTTGCCCATGCTTACGGCAAAACCCTTCCGTAATTTTAGTTAGATAATCGGGCGCTGTAATAAGATCGGTGGTACCACGGCATATTGGTTCGTATATTGTATAAAGGTCATTGGGTTTAGTAGATGAAGCGGCTGTCGTAGGTTGAGATCCCGGTGTAGAGAGTGACGTTAATGTAGACTGTAGTGCTCGAGAATCTAAAGTAGGGATGAAACTCGTGGCTTTCGCCTCAGACACAGTGACTGTGGCTTTAGTGCTACGTACTAGCGTGGAATCGGGATGGAAATCAGCAGATGTGGGTGTATTTTCAGACGCCGCTGGATTACTGGTGAGCTTCTCAGAAATTAGTGATCTGGAAATACCGGATTCTGTAATTATCTCGCTTTCGCTGGAGCGTGCAGAAGTAGGTGTAAGAATGTTAAGATGGAGTACAGGAGTACAGGAAGAAGTGCTCCAAGTAGCAGGGTAAGATACCCCCTCGATGTATGGAACGGTGTATTTGCTACCCTCCTTCAAATCCTTGTAGGGCATCTTCACGTTGAGTTTTATAATATCCCGGTAGTCCTGTTGAAGGGCGTTGGCTGCACTATAAATTGTATCACCTTTTTGTACTTCCCATTGTCCTGTTAGACTAGAACAAGCCTGACCAAGAGTAGCAAAAAGAAGGAGATAATACATGATAATTCTGCTATTGTTTCTTCCTATGAACAAAGGTAGGTCTTTATAATTGAAATAGTAGTCTTTTTTTCTGCTTTTATGATACGATAGGGTTATTAAGTGTTCCCGGCTACTTTTTTCCCTGATTAGAAGAGGCCGTTTTTGGCTTTCTAGTAAGTTATGGCACTAAGGGAGTGAGTAACTACCTATCATTGAACGCTTAGAGATATAAGTATAATTGTTCGTCTCAGTATGAATCAACGCTCCAACCCAATTCAGAACAAACCACACCCGGTATTCGCTGACTGACTTAATCTCATCCCTGACTTTTCCGCGACGTAACCCGTAGATAAAGGCTTTGATACTATATTTCCTAGATATCCCAGAGCGAATTTAGAAGAGCGTTGCCAGCCACCTAGACTATGGCTAAATTCAAACCAGGATATAAGAAACAAAGCGATGGCTCCAAGTCATCAGATGATGCACCGCGTCGCAGATATCATGATACCGTGGAGAGCGTCTCTGAGGCTTTCTTAGACGACTCAGACATTAATGCGCGGGGTAGAAATGGATTTACAGCCCTTCAAACTATTATATGGTCCAACTCCGTCGATTCCTTGGGGTTAGCGGCGGAGCTTCTTCGCCTTGGAGCAAACCCTAACATACCCTGCAATGAGGGCTGGACACCTTTGCATGGCGCAGTAAAATACGGCGCGGTTACTCTTATTCAGGAGTTGCTTAAACATGGGGCGCAGATAAATGCTTCGCAGAACGAGGGGCGTACACCGCTGCTATACGCGGTGGAAAGGGAGCAGTGGGATTCTGTAACAATTTTACTCCAGAATGGGGCGAACGCGAATATTTGTAGTTATTCCGGGCGATCACCACTGTCTGAAGTAGCAGGATATACTGAAAAGGAATATTTACTGCGTCAATATGGAGCAAGGAGATAGCTAGAAAGGTGGACACATTAGTCAACGTCGAACCAAATGAATTGATATATAGGAGTATTGCTATCTAAGCTATTAATACGACCTTGATCATAAGGTTCTCATACCGATATACATCTTCCCTATATAACTTGAATAAATAAAACTGAATTATTATAGAGGATGAACTTTGGTTATCTCGAGAGAGGTTTGTATATACGTGTGACAAACAGTAAGAACTAGCGGTACTGCCTATTTAATATAGTTAGGTTTCTGCGAAAGTCGATGTTCGTATATCCAAAGACTTTCTAAAAGCCATTTTTGGCTGCAAGCAAATGCCAACCGCCGTGTATATGTCTATATTCAGGCACTTGTTATTCTTTATAAATCTCCCTACTAATGCACTTGAACTATACCAGAATATATCTAGATCCATTAGGAAGCATGTCATCATTCTCAGGCTACACGTCTGGTGCTGCGCCACTATGTATGAATTGCCTCAATCATTCACTAAGAACTGAGAACTATCAACTCCGACAAGCTTGTCGGTATTATACCGACGATCGAAATCGCCGCATAGAAGAACTCAATGAAGCAAATCGCCGTATAGAAGAAGCCGATGAGAAAAATCGCCGCTGTGAGCAACAAGCGCACAGTCTTGAGCAACAAGTTCACAGTCTTGAGCAACAAGTTCACAATCTTGAGCAACACATTCACGATCTTGACCAGCAAAATGAAGAAAGTCGTCGGGAAACGGACCTCATCGCTAAGATGCAGAAGGATGTGATCGAACATCAGAGCGAATACATCCAAGCTATAATAGCTAATGGTAATGGAGCAGCTATCCAGGACTCAGAAAACACTCATTTCGTCCCAGAGCATGTCTCAGGAAGCGAGACGTTAAGCACACAGCAGCTGATGGATTTCAGTGAATGCGAGATAGGACCCTCGCCCAAGAGACAGAAGGCAGAAGACTAAACATTTTGTTTATTTATCATCTATGATCATCTAAAAACATGTAGGATGGCAACACATGACAAGGTGTCCTGATTAGCTTGAAATTCAAACGCGCGATTAAATATTGATCTAAATACCCGATAAATATTTAGTATAAGTGAAAGTGAAAAACTATATTTAGCCCTTAAGTTTAGAATTACAGTATACCTATAGTGAAAGGCATAATAGATATTGCTAAGCAAATGTTATAATCCTTCATGCATTGTTCGCATCGTGCTGGATGATATAAATGAAAGGGACATGCGAAGTGGTAGTATATCTCAACCTTATCGACGGACGCAGTACCAGGCGAAACTTCCATTGTGTTAACGCGTTTTTTAAGTGGTATTGCATTTGCTGGTAGTGGCCCGTAGTCAATATACCTACTGAATGATCGCCGCTTCAGCTATTTCAAGCTGTTCTGGGCTTAGACTAAGCTCTCGACCTGTCGTTTTCACAGTCTGCATCATCGCTCTCTGTATCGTAGCTGTATGCGTCTTCACTCTTCGTAGCGTCGGTATCGCCGCTCTCTGTGTCATCGATTTCCCGGCCGTGTGACCCCTTCCCCGGACGGTGTCCGTTCCCATGTTGTAAGAGGCGCGATTATTGGTCTCTATTTCATCGCTTCTTCGGCCAGCACACTCACCTCTGCGGATGTAGTCGACTAGCAAAAGAAATGTTCTACGGGCGATGGGATATAGATACAGAAACTCTGCTAGGGTTCCTGGTGGGAATGACTTCAACTTTGTGAGCGTGTATATGTTTCGGGTTCCCTTGAGATCCGCGAGCTCCTGGTAAAACAAGGCAACCTAGAAAAAGATGTCGTCGGCGTCATTAAGCGAATAGCGTTCGACAACTTTCCTTGTTCCAGTGTCGTAATTATCGAGTATTGCCAGTTCCTCCGTCTTGTATCGGATGGAAGTCTCAACGGCGCTGAAGATCGAGTGCTTATTTAGCTCAACTGGTGGGCTGAATTTCTGCTTTGCATTGCCTAGGGTTTTTCCAATATCCCGCCAGTTACGGCTGGACATGATCCATTTGACGCGAATGGAGAAGCTGGTGACGATTGATCCAAGAAGCTGAGTACGGTCGGAATGCACTCGTCAATAGCATCTTTGATTGAGACAGCACCCTCTAACGCCGGGTCCTTCAGCATAGCCGTGAGAATATCTACCAGGGAAACCCGGATATCAACGAAGAGTTTTTCGCCGACCACATCGTGCTTGGATCAGACATACGAAATAAGCGACGGCCGTTGGACGACGAGGGGATACACGAGCCACGTAGCATAGATGCCGCATCGCTCAGCTGAGCTTGAGTGGCCTAGCAGAAGAGATAAGAGAGGAGTTCGTCGATGCCGCAGAAGAGCACAGTCTTGCCTTTGCCAGGGTCACCCTTGGTCCAGAGCAGCCCGCTCTTTGATTCGTCGCAAAATCGTGGGAAGCCAGCGTGATCAAGAAGCCAGCGACATGAGTCCCTAAGCAGGCCGCCCTTGGTGTCTCGGATTCGCTCGTCTTCGCGAGGATCGGTCACAATCAGACCCCGCATACATCTCTCGTACTTGTCGTCCTCATTAGCCTTTTCTTGCTGTTGAGATTGCTGATGGATAGCCGACCGAATTCAAATGGATGTTTTAAAGGTGCTGATGAGCTTTCGAAAATACGACTTGCTCTTTACAGTATTGCACTGCTCTGAGTTTTGTTGAACAGCAGCTCGCTGAGCTGACCAGCCCAATTATCCAATCGGATCACATCTCTCATAATAACGCCCAAGCAATTCCGATAGTAAAGGCAGACGCTCTTTATCCAATACGACAGAAGTTTTTCGAAGAACTTTACAATGTGCTTCTCCAGCTAGGCTCGTAAAGTCGCAGTTAATTGCTGTCTTGTTTCATCGGGAAGGACACCAGGTTCCAGTATCAGTCCATTCTCGATAGGACGTAGACAATGTCGTCTCGGTTATAGTGCGCTTGGGTGAGAGGGTTCGAAAGGATCTATTGTATATGTCAGGGATCAATCACCATCATCCTCGATGGGGAAACCTAGTTATACGCACCCATAGCCCAAACCAAACGCCAACCCAAGCGACCGCGGCTTGTGGTGCCTTCTGTATCGCGTTCTATGCCATCTCTACCATTGGTCGCATCGCTTGCGAGCCTGTCGATCGCTTACTTAGTGGATACAAATTGGACGCATCGCGTTGTCCGAGTCTCCCCGATGTTGTTTAAGCTCGACTAGTTTGGGCTCGTCGTGAGCTTAGTTTCAAAGTCGTTTCTGTAGATTCCATAGCGTCAAGGTGTCGGGACACGTCGGGGCAGATCGTGGAGGCGTTGGCTGAGATATCGTGTGAGTTGAGAGTCGGGATACAGACCGAGACAATGTTGGTAACTGGACTGACGAAGAGGTCGAACTGGGTTCGATGGGAGGAGCCCGCGAAAATCCCTTAAACTCGCCCTTTATAATTCTGAATAGACGAGGCGCTATCCTTGTTCTTGTGAGATATGGCGATAATGGCAAGACAGCTTCACCTCCGCCTTGGGCATGGTGGATTAGTATCACTGGCGAGTATCTTACGGCATTTTGTGTGCACTGTTGTGACAGAGAGAGGCGTGAGCAGCTGGAAAGAATCTTTGTGGTGAGGTGTAGCTGTGGAGGCCAATCGGATTGCTGGGTGATATGAGATGCAGCTGCGTCAGGTCAATCGTAGAGCTGCAGCGTTGGGAGATGGAAAGTGCAATACAAAGTTGGTGAGGCGTGTTTCGATGCAGACAGGGCCATAACCCCCAGACACTTGGATTAAGAAGGGGGGTTTTAGGGAGGCTGTACCGTGTTATAAAATGCTTAGATATTGCAAGGAGCATGGAAGGCGTTTGATAACAATAGCTAATAAAGAGGTGAATAAAGAAGACATTAGACTCTAACGGTAATCGGAGGACATAGGGCGCGCCGGCTTAACCTTACCCTGGACGTAAAACTTGGGACCTGTAAACATGATCGGTCCGACTACTAAGTTAATCCGGCTGCATATTGTAAACCAATCACATCTGATCCATTTACCCAGATGAATGAGAGGAACTCTTATGTGATTGGTCGGGTTAAATTTTCGTTTACACTTGCGAGACAACGTCCGAGCTTTCCCGCCATGTATCCCTTGGTATATATTATTCTGTTTGCAAACACTTTTTTTCGAACATTTCTTTTTTTTTTCCCTTATAATCTTTACATCTTATCTATACCACCTAAAGCCGCTGATTAGCTAGCACTGCTAACAGCAGGATAACCCTTGCCTAGGCAAAGGGATTCCCTTTTATTATCCCTGAGCAGATGGAAGTATTTCGGGTGTCGGTGTCATTTGCTAGTATTGAGCTATAGTGAGAACACATCGAGCTGGGGAGAAGAACGTTATGCTGCACCTAAAGAAGTAAACAGTACTTCCAAGTTTGTCTTCATGGCTTGGTCTTGCTGATGCATGAACTTACCTCTTGCGTCATGATTACACGTTTGCTAAAAAAAAACTTTTCGATTATATTAGCTAACGAGCTTTCATCAGCAAAGCCTATCACTATGACGGAGCCCCATAAAAATCTGCTCCATTTAAGCTTGGTTGAAGGGAGGAAGAACTAATGATGGGTCAGAGGTGAATTCTGGCCTGATAGGGGCCTAGGTACTGAGCTTAGATACCCTGTGGATGCGCCACGGTTAGTCTATTTTTGGCTATTTTCAGTGAACTCTCGATGCTGGACTACTGAACCTACACCCCACTGTGGATTGCTAGAGTAGCTCCCTTACCGTCCTTTCAGACTGAACTTGTGAGCGATTTTTAAGCTTGGTTTTATTCCTCCAATTTAGTCCGCATTAAGAGAGGTGCTGTATATAAGGGTATACCTCTTCCCTTGAGATTCTAACTATAAATGATATATTCAATGAGACGCTCACCGAATACAGCTTGTTTGAGTACAAATGCCCCTTTTTCCAAAAGATGTAAGCCAACATGGGCACTCCCACCTATTAAGGTAGATGGAACCCGAAGATCACAAACAAAACATACAATAAAAATGCTAATTATATTTCATTGCCTAGGAGAATTCTTTGAACATGCAAAAAGACACGGCGGGTGTTCATGATGTTCATCACGCCGAAACAGGAGAGAGACCTGGGTCAAACATAGAGCTCAAAAGAGCAAGCGAGCCAAATAGGACACCACGTATTCTTTCTGAACTTTACTATCGGACCAAGACGTTATTTTTAAGATTGAGACCTAAGAAAAGGAAGTTATATTAGTGCTATACTTACCAGTGGAGGGTTTTATTGTAATAGCAAATACTAGGCACAGCTCTTTGACCAATAGTGCGAAGAGTAAAACCTTTTTTACAAATCTTTAGCATAAATATATTTTTTGCGCGTGTTTCGTAATACTAACCTGTGTACTTGATATCTTTTGGATTCAAAGATCTTTTCCTAGCTTCTATTTTCAACCAAGAAGAAACTATATATAAGCTCTCAGAGTTTCATTGGGAGTTTTTCAATAGTTAACGTCTTAAGTTATAGTAGCTCAGCGATATCTACCAAATGAATAAATCCGGAAAGCGACCCAGAGCAGACAGTTTTACTCTTCGAGTATGTTGTGGAATCAACTGCCACGGAGCGAAAGCGATTTGAGAGGACGAGATACAAAACAATCTCTATATTTGATATTGAATTTTGATGGTTCAGGACTGGGAATTGTAGTTAAGACTCCTTGAGAGATGTGTGCAGGGAGAAAGATCTAACGAAACGTCAAAGAAAGGGGGAACAAGAGATTCAAAAAACAAACACAAAAAATTGGGGGGACAGGAGACTTAAGAGACTAATAAGCGTCGCAAGTTACAGGCTTGATTTGAAATGATCCATACAAAGGGGTTAAGAAGCTTAACAAATCGTGTAAAAGTGAGGGAAACAAGGTAGCTCAAGTAACCCAGCTTGTAAGCAGTTTGCGGTGACCGGATAAAACTTCAATAAGTCTGAGAAGGAACTGTTAGATCTATTTAGCTTGCTAATAAACCCGAAGAAAACTGATAATAGGCTGGCAGGGATTTCTCTTCAGTTGGAAGATGATATTATCAATAATTACTCAGCTATTTTCGTTTATTATATATATATTCATTTCTAGCTAGAAAACCCTCTTTTAGACAGTTATTAATACAATCGCTACCGCCTTCATCGTAACTAGTCCCTCAGTACTCATATATCAGCTGTAATTCGTATATTACTAAGTCAATTTAGTAGAATATGTTCAGGACAGGTTACTGAGTGTGAGAGCAGGTTTTGCTAAGTTTAAGAATCTGAGGCTTAAGAAGTAGATGAATTGTGCTAGTAATATCGGGGCCGGCGTTATCCGGAAGAGAATAGCGTTAGCTAACCGCAACGAGCCTTGTAAAGAAATGATGAATTATATTCAAATCTGCTATTGGGTAGGAATCAGAGCAAGCTATAAGTATAGTATATTATAAAAATAACAAGAGTTAGGAATATAGACTCAGCGTGGAGGTATAGACCCAAAAACCTATAATGAACCTTATTGCTAGACCATAGTAGTAAAGCAGGGATAAAAGGTCCGGGTTTCGCAAGTCATGCCGCTCAGCGGCCTAGTTAAAAGGAGCTGCCTAGAGAGAAATGCATGCTTTGTCCCTCATTCAATTGGAACCCTAACTTGTGACTGTTAAGTGAATTGACTGTTCAATTGCGAAGCCTCGCGAAGCCTCTATTCAATTGAAGCCGGCTATGGCCTCAAGAGGCGCTGCGACGAGCGTTTCAAATGCTTCCTTCGTAAGAGATCCCTCTCTTCTCAATCCGTCCAATCTCTCGAGGCGAGGAAGGTCTTCTAGGATCAGGTCGGAGGGGGAGGGGGGGCCTTAATATTATGTCTGGTATTGAGATACAAAGCTATATACACTAACTTCGCTGAAAAAATTATAATCCTTGCTATTTGTTATTCTTTGGAAGAGTGAACTTCTGCTACGCTCAATATACTATGCGCACGGAATCTTAGATAG